AATTAAGCTTGAAATCTTAATAATTCACAATCAGTGGGTGTCATGTAAATTTAAGCTTTGTTGTTTAAGGTCGTTTGAGTTTTTGTTTTTGTTTTTGTTTGTTTGTTTTTTCTGAGACAGAGTCTCATACTGTTGCCCAGGCTGGAGTGCAGTGGTACGATCTTGGCTCACTGCAACCTCTGCCTCCTAGGTTCAAATAATTCTCCTGCCTCAGCCTCCTGAATAGTTGGGACTACTGGTACCCACCACCACACCCAGCTAGTTTTTGTGTGTGTGTATCTTTAGTAGAGACGGGGTTTTACTGTTTTGGCCAGGATGGTCTCAAATGCCTGACCTCATGATCCGCCTGCCTTAGCTTCCCAAAGTGCCGGGATTTCAGGCCTGAGCCACCTCACCCAGCCCTTTTTGAGGTTTTATATAAATTTTATGATGGTTTATTTCTGTGAAGAATGTCATCGGCATTTTAATAGGGATTGCATGGAATCTATAGATTATATTGGATAGTATTGTCATTTTAACAATATTAATTCTTCCAATTTATGAACATGGGTTGTCTTTCCATTTGTTTGTATCCTCTTCAATTTATTTTATCAGTGTTTTCCTTGTAGAAGTCTTTCACCTCCTTGATTAAATTTACTCCTAAGTTTATTTTTGTACCTATTACAAATGTATCTAGTTTTCTGATAGAAGAATGATCTCTTATTTGGGCAATAATGTCTTTTATCATCTTTTCTGTTAAAAATGTTTTGTTTTAACTTGGAAAGTTTGCCTTTCAAGCAATATCCAGTAGATTATAGAATGGTGGGTGAATTTTGCCAAAGAGATGGAGCAGTTGATCTTAAAAGACAGGTTGTTGTTAAGAATATGCATGGATATGCTGGGCACAGTTGCTCATGCCTGTAATCCTAATACTTTGGGATGCTGAGGCGGATGGCTCACCTGAGAGCGGGAGTTTTGAGACCAGCCTGGCCAACATGGTGAAACCCCATCTCTACTACAAATACAAAAATTAGCTGGGCATGGTGGCGTGTGCCGGTAGTCCCAGCTACTCAAGAGGCTGAGATAGGAGAATCACTTGAACCTGGGAGGTGGAGGTTGCAGTGAGCTGAGATCATGCCACTGCACTCTAGACTGGTGACAGAGTGAGACTCCATCTCAAAAACAACAAAAAAAAGAATACTCATGGGTGCGGTGGCTCACACCTGTAATTCTAACACTTTGGGAAGCTGAAGCCGGAGGATCACCTGAGGTCAAGAGTTTGACACCTGGCCAACATGGTGAAACCCCATCTCTACTAAAAATACAAAAATTAGCCAGTCTTGGTGGCAGGCATCTGTAATCCCAGCTACTCGGGAGGCTGAGACATGAGAATCATTTGAACCTGTGAGGTGGAGGTTACAGTGAGCCGAGATCCCGCCACTGCACTCCAGCCTGGGAAATAGCGTGAGACTCTGTCTCAAAAACAAAAACAAAACAAACAAACAAAAAGAATTTGAATGGGTGTATTCAAGGGATAATGTGAAGTAGGGAGAAGACTACATATGATATAATTAAGCTTGAAATCTTAATAATTCACAATCAGTGGGTTTCATGTAAATGATATTAAGCTTTAATGTAGAAAAATAAATAAATAGTGGCATTGGTCAAATATGATGTCTTCTCAGTTCTTCTTTTGCTTAGGATTTTTTAAATTTTTTTGAGACTGTGTCACCCAGGATGAGCTGTCACCCATGGTCACAGCTCACTGCAGCCTCAAAATCCCAAGCTTAAGCAGTCTGACTACCTTAGCCTCTTGAGTATGTGGGGTTACAGTCACACCACTATGCCAAACTAATTTTTGCTATTTTATAGGGTCTCACTGTGTTGTCCAGGCTGGTCTTGAACTCCTGAATGCAAGCGATCCTTTCACATTGGCCTCCCAAAGGCTTAGATTACAGGTGTGAGCCACCACACCGGACTGATTTAGGCATTTTTAAAAACTAAGTTATTTTTCAATGTATTCTCTTCCCATCCTCCAAGAACATTAGAGTTACTTAGGGAAGGACTCAAGAAAGTGGGAGAAGGGTTTTTTAATATTATGGGACTGAGAACCAAGTTCAAATACTAATTCCATTAAGAAGGAAAAAAACATCTTCATTCTCAGTCTTGAGGGGTGTGAGCATGGGGGATAGCAGGATCACAGTTGATGTAGTGGACAGGAGAGAATTAATGAAGAGTGAGTGTTGTGTACTAGAACCTGAGCCCAGGCACTCCTCATATCCTTTCTCATTTTGAACAGTGAGTTAGTGTAGTCTCTGTACTACCAAAAGTGGTTTTTGTCATATAATTAAATATGTGTTTTCAATGTAAGAAGTAGGATGGACTTTTGTTTCATGTCTTTCTTGAGCATATTATGTACAAATCCCAGAGACATTTTTGTGAGATAGGAATGAATAAGTGGCAGTGCAAAAGGATTTTAAAAAAATTATTTTGGCGAGAAAGCTTTTAGTTCTTTTCCTCAGTCCCATCAGCACTACCTCAAATAAACACACAATCAGTATAAACAGTTGTTTACTTTCTTTGCCAAGGCAACTTCAAGACAAGTCCTGTAGTACGTATTCTCCCAACTTCCGTTAACCAGAATGCCTCCCAGAGCACCACTGGCTAAAGAATTCAACATTGTCAGAAAGGGTGGGAAAAACCATTTTGGTGATTCTATTGGAAAGTGTACATGCTTCAAAAGAAGTAGTAAATAAAGCTGGATGGAGGGAAAAAAACAAAACAAAACAATGGATGTTTATTCGAGGGGAAGAGAAAAGAGAGAAGTCATACTTTATGGGTTTATATTAGGTTACTAAAAGATGATATTTGGGTTCTTCATACAATAATAATATAATTTTTATTTAGCATTTCTTACATACCAAACACTGGTATAAACACTTTTACATTTATTAATTCCTATAATTTTTTAAACAATCCTGAGAGGTAGGTAGTTTTCTTAGAGTTTACTAATGAAGAAACAGGCACAGTAAGGACAACTGTCGTGCTCAAAGTAACACAACTAATAAGTGGCAAATTCAAGATTCAAATTTAGGCATTCTGGTTTCAGAGTTCATACCCTTAACTGCCAGGCTGTTCAACCACTCTAGTATGTATTAGGCCTTTCCTGTATATAAGGTTGTAAATTCACATAATTTTGTTATTTATTATTTAATTTCCCACTACTCAAGTTTGAGGGAGGAAGCCATATATATATATATATATATATATATACACACACACACACACACACACACACACATACATACATACATATATGTATACATATATTTTGAGTTGGAGTCTGGCTCCCATCTTGCAGGTTGGAGTGAAGTGGTGTTAGCTCACTGCAACCTCCGTCTCCCTGGTTCAAGCGATTCTCCTGCCTCAGCCTCCTGAGTAGCTGGGACTATAGGCATATGCCACCATGCCCAGCTAACTTTTGTGTTTTAGTAGAGATGGGGTTTCACCATGTTGGCCAGGATGAGAAAGCCATATTTTATATGTCTTTTTATCCCTAATTAAGCATTGTTCTTTTTTTAATAGAGATGCTTACTGAGTAAATGAGTCAATTCATGAAAAATGAAAAATTTCAGTGACCATTTTCCCTTCCAATTTTAGGATCTTCACATTATATAGCAGATCACTACCACTTGATCTGGCCTGTCGAGTCTGGGATGTATTTTGCAGAGATGGGGAAGAATTTTTATTTAGGACTGGATTAGGAATACTTCGATTATATGAAGATATTCTCCTGCAGATGGACTTTATTCATATAGCACAGTTTCTAACTAAATTGCCAGAAGATATCACATCAGAAAAGCTGTTCAGTTGTATTGCAGCCATTCAGATGCAGAATAGCACCAAAAAATGGACTCAGGTACAGTGACGTTTTCCTATCTCTAATAGATGTGTCAAAGCAGTTGACTTATTATAAAAAAGTTAGGTGTTTCTTAAATGTTAGTGCTCAAAAATATGTGTTTAAAAAATAATTTTGGACTTCTAAAAAGTAAGAGTTTAAATCAAATTGCCTACTTTTCAGCTATCCAAACCTAGGGTTTTATTTTATTTCGGTTCAATAATACGCATTTAGTGAAGCACAACCCACAATAGTCATTTATTTGCCAGAGTAGTTATTACTTTGGTATTTCAAATAGAAAACAATTTTATTATATTAAATACCTGCTGTATACTAGGATTAGTAGTTGAAAGAATATATAATGTATGGCTCTGGCTTTTAGATGCTTAGTCTTGTTAAGAAAGTAAAATTATTGGCAATCTAAGTTAAGTGACATAAAAGGATGGCAGTATCACTCAATCCATGGATGATATAAACAATTGGCATTATTAAATTTGCAGTTTTATTGGTTCAGAAAATGTTGTGTTACCAAATAGTAATTTCAGAATATTTGGCAATTGTTAAAAATCAAAATCTAATCATATTTCATGATTAGAAAAAAATAAATAAATAAAGGGGATTTGAGAATGGCACACTTTCAGGGGACAGAGTTAAGTATAATAAAGCTTTTTTTGGTTTATAAACTATAGTTATTTAAATCTCTTTAATCTGGGTAGTAGTTTTTGAGGATTAATCTTTATTTTATATAATTTTCAGGTCTTCACATCTGTAATGAAGGATATTAAAGAAGGAGACAAGAACAGTAGTCCTGCTTTGAAAAGCTAGTCTTCAAAATTGACAGATGAATTGACATATAAAAGGTGGTTTTTGGATAAAGGTTTTTTGTTTCCTATATAAAAGGCATGGAAGAAAATGTTGAAGATATCTAAAAGAATCAAGAGGTGGAAAACTGCTGATTTTAGATTTTATGGCTGAAGTAAATGAAATAAGTAACTTATTGACAGTATTAATAAAATGTTATTTTGTAGGTAGAGTCATTTTTCAAAGGAAAAAGTTTAAATGGTGAGTTTATACTCCACAATTTGGAATAAACAGTTTAATGCAATAAATTTTTAAAATAGTTTTGGAGATAACTTCAAATTTTTACATCTTTTCTTTTGTAACTGTTACCACAAAGATACTCTGGAGGTTAGAACAGGATTGTTAAGTACTACTGCTACCCTCCAAAGTACTATAGTACAGACATTGTTTCCAGTTTTGAACTTTTGAAGATATTATAGACCAGTAGTAAACAAATTGGTTGTAAATTATCTAAGTCACTGAAGGTGTCATTTATCTTCATTCATAAGTTGGGGTAAATGTGAGTTATCTAGGAACTGGAAATGTTGGTGGGTGATTGTTTATTGTTTGTTTAGATGTTTTTCCACAGTACTGTGTTCACTTTTTTTTTAAGGGAAATTTGTTGTCTTCCTTAAGGAATTTCTATCACTCAGAATTGTAGCTGTTCTGGTTCTAGTCTAACAAATTATTCATCTAATAATTTGACATTAAGAAAACTATAACTGGTAGAAGGAAAGTTCTTTGCACTTGAGTGGATTGAAGACTTGACTTTGAGAGTAAGTCCAGAAACTTATGAAGTTTCTCAGTGATAAGAGTAAAAAGTAGTGTATCCTGAGAGTTCTTAAATAGCATGCTACTTGGCAAGACTTTATATTTTTTTAGTTACAATTCTTCCACTGTCTATAGAAACAAAATTTGTTAACTCCAGTTTGAAATTTGAAATCTAATATGTAGCTAAATCTATGACTTGTAAAACACTATGCATAATTTTTCTAATCAGTAGAAATTAGAGTGAAAGAAAAAGATAAAGTTAATTTTTTTTTCTAAGTCTACATCCTATCTCTTAATTCAATTGCCTGAAGAAGCTGTGTGAGGAGATAGTCTGGTTATTGGTTCCTTTATCTATCAATGCCATCGTAATCTCTTCACATGTTACACTAAATGCTGCCTGTAACCCATCCTCATCTTCTTTACTCATCATTGCTTTCTTCAAGGAAGATCTAGATACTGCCTCATCTACCTCATTATCAGCTAGTGACTGATCTAGTTAGTGACTCTTTGGAAGACTGATAGCCTCTAAATGAGTTATCCAACTTCCACTTCCTCCCATTGGCCACTTTACATAGGTTTGAGAACTTAGCAGGTGCTAAATCCTCATGCCCACGGAGGCAAAATACTTTGAGGAATGGGAACATCTCTTCACTGTGTTCTTGGATCAGCCTTCTCTCAACCACCAAGAAATGCATGATTTCTCTGCCAACTCCGGAAAGTAGTGCTGTATGATTGTATCATTCTTTGATGAATTCTTTCATTGAAACATAGGGAGTCATTTCCAAAAAGGTAGTTATGAGCTTAAATTAAATTGACTTATGAACATTTTGCCTGTGGGCCCTACAGTGTCATGACCCTCCAGTTGAAACAGAGCATGAATTATTTTTTTGTTGAGTTCTTGAACTGCTAACCAGGTGTATGTTTCCTTGAAGTCCAGAGCAGGATCCAGGTCAGATGAAGGAGGTGGTATACCTGGCTTAACTGCAGAAAATAGAGCATTGAACTTCTTCACAATGAGCTGCATTGGGTTTCTGTTTGGCTTTCTCACTGAATAGTAAATTAGGGAAAATGCTGCTTTTACTATTTTGCATTTTATGTCAACATTTACAGCCTTTTCCCAGTCAGGTGCTGTCCAAGGAACATGTTTCCTTTGGGAGGTCTGAACAGCATGATCTGGCTTGATGTATTTCTTGAGCTCTAGTACCATATTATAGAGTTGTTTAAATGTAGCCAACAGCAGTGTCAGAACAATTGACATTGTCCCTCCAAGATTCAATGCATTGGCTTTCAGAGAGCTGCTACTAGAGCCATACATGAGGCAGTGAACACATCTTTAGGTGGTGGCAAGGCTATATCTGATTAATAGAGATCTCTGATCTCTAACGACATATTGCTATTGTCCTATTACATTTAAATTTGAACCTAAACTAAATCACTTGAGTGTTATGAGTGATGTCTATATAACATGCCATTTGGCTAGATGTATAGTGCGTTTTTATGTTGCAGTTTGGTTTGAAACAACACTTAAGCACACTATTTCTGTTAGTGGTATATAGTTTTCAAACTAACAAGCTGTGATCCTTGTTAGTGTAGTGACTGCCTTTTTAGGAGTATGGGACCCTAGGGTGCCCATGTATTTTTATCCCGTGGGTCATTCTATCCTAGGTACTACTAGAAGACCCCTCAAAAGGTAACTGCTATTATAGGGACTTACTTAGTGGAAACTGGTAGTATAATAAAATATTGAAGGAGGCTACGGTCTTAGTAGGTTTTAGAATGACCTTTTAACTCCACTAACTACTTACTTGGTGTTGATGTCCCTAATAGAGGAAATACAACCTCTAGCAGTAATCTCATTCAGGTTATACTACCTGCCTAAATTTAATCATACTTGTATGTATTTGTTTCCTCAGTTGGAACTAAGTTACTGTATTTCTTTTATTTTTTTTATTATTGTACAGTTTCTTTACCTTTCAAGTATAAATGTGTATATAAAATGTAAATACGAGGAATTCACTAAAAACCACTCATAACAATTACTGTGTAAATAAAACTGGTAAGCAGAGTAATTACTTGAAGTGAGTCTTCATTACTTTGGGGATATCTGTTTTATTTAACTGCATCTCAAGAACAAAAAGGAAATACTCTTTGTTTTTGTTGGCCAAATTTGTCTTCCAAGGAATGCACTAGGCCTTCAGTCTTTTGAGACTGGCAGTACTGGCAGCTAAAATATTGTACTGTATCTTTGCTTGAGCCCAGTATGTAGGAAACGTGATAATTCCCATGGTCAATATATGGCAGTTTTTGTTGTTGTTGTTAAAGTATATTTTCAATTAAAAAAAACTTTTCCTAATATACTCAAGATAATGTGAAATTTAATATGATGTTTCATTTGTTTGTCTACTCAATATATATATTTCTTACTTAATGTTCCTTTAGCCCAGGTCTACATTGCATTATTTAAATTCTGTTAGAAAAAAAAGTGCTGTTAGAAGACTCCAGTAACTCACATAGTTTTCTAAAGTCGGCTTTTATTGATGTCTTTTGCACTTGTGACCTTTGAGTATATTTGTTTGACTTTATAAAATTAGGTAGCATTTGCAAAAGGACATTCACATTTTCAGTATCTCTGACTTCAGGATAATAGCTTCCGTGTAGCTTAGGAACTGTTATTTTGACCTAGGCTAGTCAACTCTTTAGAGTCTACACTACTGAAGGGTATAATTCTAAAGCAGATAATCATGAAGTAATTTATCTTACTTCATAATGTCATATGATTTGATTTTTTTATTTTATGTTTTTGTTTGGATAAGATAAAATTATATTCCACGAGGGTATTCAGACACCAGGGACTAGTATAAAAAAAGAGTCAAAAAAGTATGAGGTAGCATTGGACAGTAAGTTATATCAAAATTTGTCATGACTAATTAATACTGTCAGAAAACAGTCTTCTGAGAGAAAAAAGTGTTATTTTTGTATTGAATCATATTACTTTGCTGTTTGACAAGCATTGTCTAAAATGTGAATTCTCAACTGTAATAAAACCTCATTAATTAGAACTCACTGCTTTACAACATGTAAAAACTTAAATGAAATCCAAGATTTCAGGGAAACTAGCCATTCCAGAGAAAGCCCTGCCCTTTAAAAATATTGTTTGCTTAGTAAGAGTGTAATTGCAAAAGTGGGAAATTTGAATTAATACATTATATTTCTTAAGCCCTGATTATTGCCAAGCACTCCCTCTTAATATTTTGTTAGGCTACATAAAGTTTTAAGGCTTGGGAAATTCCAAAATTGCCTTTCTTTCCAGATATTCTACTGTTCATATTGATCATTCCTTGATCTCAGTTAAGGAGAATTTACGTATGTACATTTTATTTTGTAGACTTGATTTATTTTCTAATAAACACCAGGAAGGAAATCTGACTTTAAATTATATTATGTAAGTGTTTCATTTGAACATTTATGTAAATAATAATGACTTTATTAAACTTAAAGTAAAATGACTTTTGTACTATTACAATGTATTTGACAAATCATTTTTATAATAAATATATAAATGATAAATGAATATAGACTTGAAGGAGTATATAAAATTGTCAACAGCGAGTCAACATTCTCATTTTTCATCTTCAGGCATAATGCTGTACGCAATGGTATAAAAGCAGAAAGTAAAGCTTCAACTTCTGGTCACAGCTGGGCGTGGTGGCTCATGTCTGTGATCCTAGCACTTTGGGAAGCTGAGGCAGGAGCATCACTTGATCTGAGGAACTCCAGATTAGCCTGGGCAACACAGTGAGACCATCTCTACAAAAAAATTAAAAATTAGCTGGGCATGGTAGCACGTGTCTGTAGTACCAGCTACTTGGAAGGCTGAGGTAGGAGGATCACTTGAGCCTGGGAGGTTGGGGCTACACTGAGCTATGATCACACCACTGGACTCCAGCCTGGGCAACAGAGTAAGACCCTGTCTCAAAAACATTTAAAAAATATATTGTAGCAAGTTAGGAAACAAAAAAGCCTCTTATATGAGCCCTTGAAAAGTAAACACATTTTATGAAATTTTAGATTCCATGTTTTATTACTTTTTAACAGTGTCAAGCAGCTGGGCATTGTGGCTCACACCTGTAATCCCAGCACTTTGGGAGACTGAGGTGGGTGGATCACTTGAGGTCAGGAGTTCCAGAGCAGCCTGACCAACATAGTGAAAACCTGTCTCTACTAAAAATACGAAAACTAGTGGGATGTGATGGTGGGCACCTGTAATCCCAGTTACTCTGGAGGCTGAGGCAGGAGAATCACTTGAACCCAGGAGGTGGAGGTTGCAGTGAGCCAAGATTGCACACACTGCACTCCAGCTTGGGTGACGGAGCAAGTCTCCATCTCAAAAAAAAAAAAAAAAAAGTGTAAATCAATTCCTATCATTTCTTTGCTCAAGATTCTCTAATGGCATTCCTCATAATAAAAATCCATACTCTTTATCCTTGTCTGCATGGTCCTAATTGATCTGGTCACTGCCCATCTTTCCAATTTCAGCTACAATTTATAAACATTCTACGGTAGACACAGTGGACTTACTGCCATTTTTCAATTTGTCAGCCTTCTATCCACCTGAGGTCTTTCTTCCCTCGGAATTGTTTTTTATCTAGGTCTTTGTATGGCTTATATTTTATATCACTGCTTAAGGTCACTTCTTCAGAAGACTTTAAACATCTATCCACTATTCTTATGATCTTACTCCGCTTCATATTTCTTTATAGTTTTTATTACATATCACCAACTGACATTGTTTTATAACGCTGTCTATTGTTTCCACTACAGTATAAACTCTGAGGTCAGAAACATTGTCTTATTTACTGCTGAAGTGCTAGTACCCAAAATAGTGCATCGCACTACCCTATGGTAGATATGGATAATTGGATTTTTTTTATTTTGGTCCATTCCTCACTAAACTTACCTTTTCATTTAAATTTTTTTTCTATTATAGATACTGTTTTTGGTTCACTCAGAAACTTAAACATGTAAAGGTTGGGTAGAAGAGAATGAACTAGTGAAAGTCAGGAATAGGAATATCAAGAGAATGTGGGGTCAGAAAAGACAACGGGGAAGACTGTTTCCATAAAGGAGTGATTAACAGTGTTATGTTGCAATGTGGTTGAAATAAGAACTGAGAGAAGTCAATTAAACTTGGCAACGTGGAAGTCATTAAACCTTAGTGGGCTACTTTGGTGTATGCTGACTGTTGCAATCAGAGGGTTGAAAAATCAGTGGGAGGGAAGGAATTAAACATTACTGGTGTAGATAATTATATAAGTAAGCTTTAAAGGGGAAGAGAGAACTGATAATAGTTGGTAGGGAAAAAGGAGGTTCCAGCTGGGTGCTGTGGCTCGCACCTATAATCCCAGCTAGTTGGAGGCTGCAGTGGGAGGATCCCTTGAGTTCAGGAATTAAAGGTTACAGTGAGCTATGATGATACCACTGCACTCCAGCCGGGGTGACAGAGTGAGATTTTATCTCTTAAAAAGAGGTAATAATGATTTCTAATCTAAAATGATTTCTGAATAGGCAGCAGGGAGTTGGATCCAAAACACAAGATGAGAGAGTGATAAAGGTATTCAGGATGCAGATGGGTTTGTAAATTTGATGTTGGTAAGCTGAAAGGGGAATTCTGTCTTGTAGCTATTATTTCCTTCGTGAGATAGGCCAGAAGTGGGGCCATCTACTGTAACAAGAGGGAGCTGGGGTTTTGTTTTGTTTTGACTTCTATGATTGGATGGATGGTTATGCCATTAGTATAAAAAGGATTCTATA